TTCCCGGGACCCTGGGCGGAAGCCCTTGTAGCCCTCACGGCTTGCACTTCCGCAGAGACACCCTTCGCCCGGCGGGCGGGCAGCCGGGTGTGGGCGGGCGGCGGACAGGGGGCAGATCCTGGCGCAAGCAGCGGCTGGGCTGCCCGCTCCGGAGCCCAGGAGGGTTGGAGAAGGCCCTTCCCGAGGCCGTCAGAGGGCGCGCCTTCTGCCCTGCGGAAGGCTGCTGCTTCTGCCCCAGGCTGGGCACGAGGCTGCTCCCCCTGCGCGACCCCAAGGCTCGCCTCTTCCGTGCCATCCTGGTGGGCCCACGGAAGCGTCCTCAGCGGCGCCCAACCTTCAACCTCGTCGGGCTTGGCTGTGGATCGTTCGCGGGCAGGGCCAGCCCCCCGTCCCCGCAAGCAGGGCCCATTTTGGGGGGGGGATAGGAGAGGAGACGCAGGATCAGGCCACCGGCTGACTTACTCGCCACGTCGCCTTTGAGGCGGAAGGCCTGGGCCCGGTTATTGTAGGCCGAGGCTCGCTCGGGGAGCAGCTCGATGGCCCGGCCAAAGCTCTCCAGGGCGTCGTCCAGGTCTCCGGCTTCGGCCGCGGTCACCCCCTGCATCTCCAGTCGCGTGGCTTCCTCCAGCCGCTGCGGGTCGAAGGCATCTTCCAGCGCCACCGGGCATTGGGGAGGGGAAAGGAGGGGAGACTCCGGTTACTGCCGCGGTCCAAGGAGGGAGTCCAGCGGCGCCGGACCCTATGCTGCCCCGCCCCACTCCGGCCCTCGGGCTCTGCCTCAAAGCCCAGGGAGCACCCTTGCAGGGCCTTCGCGCGCGAGAGCCTAGGGGTGGGTGGGGGTGGGGGGGGTCCGCATTCACTTTCCCGGCTGTGGGGGTGTAGCTCCGGGCCCTGGGCGCCTGGGGAGGAGGGCCCGCGGATCCGGCCAGGAGCTTCTTGGTGCCCCCGACGGCTGGCCCTTCGCCCGCAAGGCCCGGGCGCCGTTCACTTTCCCGGCTGTGGGGGTGTAGCTCCGGGCCCTGGGCGCCTGGGGAGGAGGGCCCGCGGATCCGGCCAGGAGCTTTTCGGTGCCCCCGACGGCTGGCCCTTGGCCCGCAAGGCCTGGCCGCCGGGGTCTCTTTGGGGAAGAAGGGCTTCCTCCCCCACGCCCTTCGGGGAGAAACCCGGCCTACCGTCCGCCCGGGCCCCCCCTTCCAGTTCCTCCTCCTCCGACTCGCCGGAGAGCTCCCCGAAAGGCGCGTCCGGGTGGAAGATCCTCCGCAAAACCGCCCTGTCGTGGGCTGTTGCCATCTTGCACAGCTGGCGGGGAAGGTCCCTGCCGCTGGGATCCAGACCGGCTAAGCCATCGGGTGGGGGTGGGGAACCGGGGCCAAGGGGCAGGCCTCCGCTCAGCCAATCACGCCGGGGGCGTAGCAGGAGGGATGGGGGGGGGGAAGGGAGAGACGCTTGGGCCACCTCCCGAAGGCTGCTCTTTGGCCCCTGGACGGCCAGGCGCGCTCCCAGCGACGTGGGTGGGGGCTGGCGAAGAAATGGAGCTCCCACCGGGTGGACTCGGAAAGAGGGGCTTCCTCCAGGCCGGGTTACACCCCAACCCCGCCGAAGAGGGAAGCGCCCCTGGAAGCCTCCCAGACCCCACTCCCCCCACCGCCACGTCCCTGTGGTTACCGAAAGAGGGGGGACTCCCCGCACCCGAAAGCCCAGACTGGAGACCGAGGGTCGCCTGGGGCCGGTCAGAACAGCGACCGCAGCGGGGGAGAAGTGGAGGAAGGCCTGGCTCAGGAGAGCCGCCTTCGTGTTTTCCTGTTGCTGAAGGAGATGCTGAAGAGCCCGGCCGGGTTTTTAGACCAGGAAGTTCGGCTCCAACGGGGGGGGGGGCTTTTCTGGGCTGGCACACAACAGCCCCAGCCCCCTTCTTCAGGGCAAGAGAAACAGCCTGCCCTCTAACCCAGCTTAGTATGCGAGGATGGCACAGACAGGGCAGAAGCATAGATTTTGGGGGCCACCTCTCCTATCGAGGGACCGACCTTCCCTGCCTGCCAGCCCACCTGAAAACCTGCATCTGCAAACAAGTGTTATCTGTTTAGTTTCCTGGCTAGCCCAACATGAGTTCAAAGTATAACCAATGACCTCCGGGGCCTTGCAGCCTGGGGGCCACAAGAAGCATCCGGCACCTGAGATGTTCACGATGCTGGATCCAGCTAGTTGATCCAGAAATAGAATGATCTCAGATTGAATGAGAACGGCTTGTTCGGTTGCAAAACCCGTGTGTCCTTCACAAGGAAGGAGAGCTAAATTGAAGCGCATTGCATCCACCTGCTGAAGAGGAAAGGAACAGATCCGTGTCTGTGCCAACACCCCCCCCCCCAGGCAACTGGCTTCGGCAGCGACAGGCGGCATCCACTAGATGCCCACGAGGTGCTGGATCTGCAGCGCAAAGAAGTGGGGGTGGGGGAATGGAACAATTAATTACTGATAAAGAAATAGAGGTTATTATAAATAACTTAAAGACAGGAAAGACCCCCGGAACAGATGGATTAGGCCCAGAATAGTATAACGTATTTAAAAAGATTCTTATACCAAAGTTAAGTGTGTTATTTAATAAGATATTAATGGGAGAGGAAATCCCACAATCATGGAAAGTCATTGATTGTTTTAATATTGAAACCAGATAAAAATCCAATAAATATGGAAGCATACAGACCCATATAACTGATATCAAGATGCTAAGATATTCACGGCAATAATGGCAAAGAGATTAAATAGCTTTATGGGGAGTTACATTGAAAAATATCAAAATGGATTTATACAAGGCAGACGAATGTCAGATTTAATGAGAAGGGTGCTTAATTTAATGCACTTAGCTAAAGAAACTATAAAGCCAGAGTACTATTGTTACCTATATTTAAAGCATTTGATTCAATGGAATGGGATATGTTAAAGATATAAATCAAATATTTTGGGTTTGGACCTAATTTTAGGCAGATAATTCACCAATTATATTCACAGAATACAGCTAGAATAATAGTTAATGATGGAATAACTGAGACAGTACACCTAGGCCAAGGTACAAGACAACGTTGCCTCTTATCTCATGTATTATTTACAATGATAATAGAATTATTGGCCCAGATAATTAGAGATTAAAAACAGATTGTAGGGATAGATCATAAAGAAAATGGTAAGATAAACTTGTTTGCTGATGACACATGTTAAAGATATAAATCAAATATTTTGGGTTTGGACCTAATTTTAGGCAGATAATTCACCAATTATATTCACAGAATACAGCTAGAATAATAGTTAATGATGGAATAACTGAGACAGTACACCTAGGCCAAGGTACAAGACAACGTTGCCTCTTATCTCATGTATTATTTACAATGATAATAGAATTATTGGCCCAGATAATTAGAGATTAAAAACAGATTGTAGGGATAGATCATAAAGAAAATGGTAAGATAAACTTGTTTGCTGATGACACATTACTAATAGTTAAAAATCCAATAGAAACAACAAAAAGCCTTAAGTCACATTTGGAGGAATTAGAGGGTAAAACGGGATTAAAAATAAATTGGGGAAGTCAGATTGTTTATTGTTAAACCACTCGCATGAGGAGAAAATAAGAATGAAAAACAATATTTAAAGGTAAAACGGGAAATATTATTAAATATTTAGGGATTAATATTACTTGGAATTTATAGGATATAATTAAAATAAATCTTGATAGATTAAAAACGAGATAACTGGAAGGATAACAGATTATCAAAAATTAAAGATTTCTTGGTTTGGTAGAGTGACATTATGCGAAATGAAAATTATTTCTAAATTGAATTTTATATTTTGGATGCTTCCTATAAAGATTACAGAAAAACTGAAAGAATGGCAGATAATGATGAATTGTTATTGCAATGGAAATAAATGAATGAGGATTAATAAGAAATTACGGAGTCAGCAGAACAGCAGGCTCCGGACGAGGAGCAGGAGGCACAGAAGCTACGGGAGGCTCCATAGTCGCTGAGCTCGAGGGGGAGAGTGATTTTGCTGCAAGCGGAGCTTAAGCGCCAGCTTGGTCAATTTTTTTTACACTCCAGGCAGGAGTGTGCCTGATGTCTTTGCCCTAAGCAAAATAAACAGCAATAGTGGCGGAGTCAGCAGAACAGCAGGCTCCGGACGAGGAGCAGGAGGCACAGAAGCTACGGGAGGCTCCATAGTCGCTGAGCTCGAGGGGGAGAGTGATTTTGCTGCAAGCGGAGCTTAAGCGCCAGCTTGGTCAATTTTTTTTACACTCCAGGCAGGAGTGTGCCTGATGTCTTTGCCCTAAGCAAAATAAACAGCAATAGTGGCCGTTGGTAAAGGGAATCTTGTTGGCACACGAAGTACAACATTTAAAGGGGCCTGATGCGGCCATAAAAATAGGTGGGAAAGGGGAAATAACTCACGGGAAAACGTCAACCATGAGTAGTCCTAATCAAATACCGTAGATCAAATCAAACCGCAGCCATAGAGACAAAGTCCGCGATCCAGAAATTGTAAATAAGTAGACAGTCCGAAGTGAAAAAAGCCAAAAATACAAAGAGAGGTTTGCTCTAGACGTCGCAAAGGAGTCCGATCGCAGCGGCAGCAAGAAGGAACGGAGGTATTATGGGCGGATGGAGCATGCGTGCTACAGGGAAATGTCCTACTAATCCTGTTTCTTTAAGCGCTAGAATATTCCGAGAAGTCTAACCCATTTGTGTGCATTCATAGAGGCGACAAAGAAGAAAATAAAGACTTAATATTAATAATGGTTACGGCAGCAAGGTTAATCTTTGCAAGAAACTGGAAAAATGATAACCAACTCAATTTAGAGGAATGGTACAGAGAACTATGGGATATGACAATTGATGATAAACTGACATGCGATATGAAAATAGAAGAGGCCTACCAAATAATGATTTTAAGAAAATATGGAGTGAATTCTTGGAATGTGTATTTCGGAGAGGGAAGGCGTATACGCAGAGGGAAAACAATGAGCTTTCGGAGAGAAAATTGACTGAATGAATTCTAAAAATATTAATGCTGGCCCAGAGGATGATGGTGGCACTGGTGTATTATATAATTTTATTTTATTGTGGTGTAACGTTTATGTTGTTTAGATCAGATGTTTGTTTAATAAATGTATAAAAAGAAGTGGGAGGGCAGTTCAGGATACTTCTCAGCTTGCCCAGGGTTCCTATGGGGGTCACCGTCCACTCTGTTAGGACAACTAGCAAGTGGCGCATCCATACAGCGAGTCTTCCCAGTTCCTGTGCCCCAGCCAGGAAAAATGCAGGTACGTTCCGTTTTTAATTGTCAGATCTCTCTCTTTCTTAAGTCGCATAGGCATCTGAATGAGATCTCCTTTTTTGGGGGGTGGAACATGCAAGGTAGCTCCCATTTCCCTGATCCAAGTCAACTTTGGGGTCCGTGGGCCTCTCCAAATGCTATGGGGAGATCTCAATGGATCAAAGAGAAAGACCGAAGCGTGTTCTCATCCGTGACAGATCTCACTAAATCTGTAAAGTCTTAGGGGTGCCACAAAACATTGGTTTTGTCTTTTATTATATATGCAGAAACAGACAAAAATTGCAGCCTGTCTCTGCAAACGGCTGTATTGGGACTGACAGCATTTACTCGGGCAGGAAATCCATTCGTCTCATGAAGATTCCAAGGAAGTACATTGTAATCCGCAAAAGCCCAGGTGAAATGAACCTGTTGGTTCTAGAGGTGCCACAAGCAGTTAGAGCGGGTTCTTTGGGGCACGCAAACGGGCCCTCTTGTCTCCCACAGGCTCAGCAAATGCCATTTTGCAACCAATCTGGAACAGATTTTCAGGAATGACACCCCCCCCACTCCCCCTTTGAATTTTGCTTCTACTCAACCATCCCACAGCTGCTTCTTAAACCTGCCTCTCCTGACATCTCTTGCAGGCAGGTGCCAGAGCGCAGCCATCTTCAGGCCACAGCAGAGTCCAGAGGCCTGCATGAGAAGAACGGGCTTAAGAAGGGGAAGACCCTGGTTTTGCTGGCTTCTTTCCCGAAGCAGCCCTGGGAAAACCTCCCCTGCAGCGATGGTCAATCAATGAAAGACCATCATCATCTGAAGCAATAAACTTGACATGTTTATTAGTTAAACTATCACTTAAATAAAAAAGTGCATAGAAAATAAACATGTTTAAAAACTCCTTTTTTTGTACAACTATATACACTTATTTTTACATTCAGTATTTCAGCCATTTCTTGAACTTTTGAAAGGACGTCCTTCCTCCCTGTGATGACAGGGACTTAACACTGATGAAGCACAGAGATATCTTTCCTTTTTTTCTTTTCTTTTCTTTTTTTTAGAAAAAACAAACAAAAAGATAAATCCAAACCATTTGGAAGTAGAGAGAGGAAAAGCAAGAGAGAGAAATTGCTCATACATGATAAGTGGCTATTTTGTCCGGAAGAGAACCCTGTTTGCGTAGCTTGTGCACAGCTAGAGACGATAATTCACACGGGAACCCAAGAGACATCACGAGCACAGTTCTGGGCGGTGGCAAGAGGGACAAAGCTGTGGGGGCCTTGTTAAGATGCCAGGAAAGCACACCACACCATTATGGCACACCACGGACTGGAACCCCAGAGAGGGAAGGGAGGAGCAGCAGCAGCAGCAAGAGGCAAGCTGGACACGGACTAACTGCTAACACGGAAAGGCCAGGAGAATTGTAGCCGGGCCCCCTGCTCCCAGCCTTGCTCTCTAGGGGGACAGGATGCAGAGCATCCACTAAGCTCCCCCTGCTTGCAGGACATCCTCTTAGAAAGAGGGAAGCCCTGAAACACATACATACATACACGCACGCACGCACACACGCACACCGGCTTGCTAATTTTCCTGCCTTAGTAGCCGATTGAAACACTACCGGTATCTCACAGGTTAAAGAGAATTCAAAGCCAGGCTGCAAGGCATGGTGCAGTACGCTATTAGTTCCTATACGTACATACATACAAACATACATACATACAAACATACATACATATATATATATATCTATAGATCTATCCCTATTTAGAGTTACAAAAACTTGCAGATGTGTGGGACAGGGAAGGAGAAGGAGGAGGAGGAGGAGGAGGAGAGACCGGCCACCTGGATGGGAGGGTCAGGATTCCCTCGCAAAGGACCCAGTATTGCTTCGCAAAAGACGAGACGACGAGAGCCCAGCCCTTTCAAGTGACCCGCTTTTTTTTCCTTTAAAAAAATAAACACCTTAAAGGGTCGACTCTTTTAGTATTCTCAGGGATCGTGATCTGTCAGTTCTTAGAAATATACATTCATATAGCCAGGAAGTGGCACAGAGCGGTTTCTTCTGCTTCTCCCCCCCACAACCCCGAGAGCCAATCTGTGTGCGTGGCGGGAGAGGCCCCCCCATTCCGCTGGCAGGAGGGGGGGGGCAAAGGCGGTCGCTCTTGGTGTTGACTGGCCAGAGAGAGGGCTGCTCAGGACGGCCCAAGGCGAACTGAGCTGCCGCAGCAGCAAAATCCTGCTCCCCCCCCCCCACGCTCCTGCTCCGAGTTGACAAGACAGGGAAGGCAGGCAGGCGGGAGGGAGGGAGGGAGGCACACAGGACAGACGGCACAGCCTGCGGTGGTCACGGCCTCGCACTCCTCCTCTTTGGCCTAACCTAGGATGGAAGGCAGGTGGACGGCTCTTGCCCTGCCCTTTTGACCAGGCAGTGCCAGATCAGCTTTTGCTCCCTGCGTCCCCGTCTCCCCCACCCCGAGAAACTGAGGAGTCCAGGCCCACTTTGTGCAGGCCAGAAGGCCATTTTTGGCCTGCCAGGGGGAAGAAGGGTGGGGTGGGGACTCTCCTGTCCCAGTGGAAGGCCAGCCACAGGACCAACCAGGGAAGTGGGAACTCTTGAGGGGCAAGCTTGTAGTCCAGCGGCCCTCCAGGAGGGCGTCTCACGGGGCCTGGAGTGGCTCCTTTCCTCCTTGCTCAGTTTTTGCCCTGGAGACCATCAGAGACCTTTCCCCTCTCAAGGGGTGGCCTGATGGGCCGGTGGACGAGGAGCCCTCCGGGAGCTGGAAGGAGGAGTGAAGGAACTGGGGAGGCGGCAGAGGGAGAAACCCCCCCACCCCCACCCCACCCGCCAGTCCTCTTTCCCTCCAGGGAGGCTGAGAGGAGAGGAGGGGTTGCCTTCGGGACCTTCGGGGCTCTCCGGGAGAGGAGGAGGAGGTGGTGGCGGCGGCCCCGGCCAGTGCCAGAAAAACGGGAAACCCCTCCAAGCACCCTCTGGCCCTCGAAGAAGACCCGGAGGGGACGCCTGGCCGGCAACTCCCTGAAGCCTATTCCGTGAACAGAAAAAGGG